TTGTTGAAAAGGTCTCGGGCTCCATGAGGTTTATAGCAAAGAAAATTCACCTTCTAATCACCAAAAGAAATGTTAAGTACATGAAACGAAGCTACCTGATGGCGAAACGGAGTTCGCCGGGTTTGCTAGTTAATTTATAGATTTGAATGCGAAAGTAAGTTTGAAAGATATGAGACCTTGAAAATAGGTACCCTGTACCCTTTTTCCTACTTCTACATCTTCAAAAATGTCGCGATAGTAAAGAAATGGAGGAGGTCAGTATCTACATTAACCCAACAGATGCCGCAAGCCCTAACCAGTGCTTAAGTCTCTGACAGCCGACAGAAAACTGTTGAAGGCAAATCCTCCGCTAGTTAGCATAGGTCACCGGTGGCCTTTTTTTTTTAAGGGGGGAAAATCATCGAATGACTGCCCCCACCTTTAGTGTCAGACTCTAACTGACTAAAAACCACCCCGTTCCTTCTCCTGCACGTCGAGCCGGAGCCCCGGTAACCCGTTAGGTTCTCCGCGACACTTAAATAGCATAGAATTCAATTTAAAAATGCTTTGACACTGCAGTAACTAAACGATCACAGACAATATGCGGAACTACGTAATTTCGATAATGGAGTTTTAAAAACTCGATAGTAATGGTGAAAGATTTATTAACTGATAATGTCATTATTCGATACCCACAATAAGTTACATCATTGTGACGTCACACGTCAATTCGTGTCATCACTGACTTTTGACAATCGATTCTTTACTTATTTCTTATTTGTTACACACATCTTTGCGTCATAGGCCTCTGTGTAGAATTTACATACTGACGTCAATTAGTCGTCACATCTGTTCTAATTTTTAGGTTACATAGTTTCATAGCTTTATAATTTTTCCTTTTTAAATGACGTAGTTTTTATGTTTACTTGTGAAAATTTCCAAAGGAGACTGGGACTTGTGGGCCCAATTGTAATAAGTTGAATTATGGCTTAAAAAAAAGGTATTTTTTTTCTATTTCATACTGTAAAAAATCAATTCAATTTACAATCTGGGAAATGAAAAATCCAATAATTATGTTAGGGTTACGAATTATCGATTCAATTGTAATCGATTAACGTTACAGAGTTCATACTATTTACGAAAATGCTTTCACCGGTTGATTTATTTAACTAAAATAATAAAATCTATTAGAATTAGAGTATTAAGAGTTAAAACTAATTAGTTATCTACATAATTAATATTAGACAATTCACATTTACTAATCGATTATTGTATTTTTAATCTGTGCTAACTCGACATTCGTTTCGTATCGTCTGTGCGTGTGCGTTCTGAGTGTCATTTGTTTTCTTCCCGTTTTGTTTTTGTTTTTATTGATAATTATTATTCCTCGACCCGGCTTTCCTACGGACCTGTGATCTTCCTCCTTCTACGACCCTTGCCTTGCTACCATACTGGACACCGAGAACCCCGCTTAAACGTTGAACTTGGACTTGTTATTTTGGATTCTACGAACGGCCTACCAATAGGATATTGATCGACATCATGGATCGTTGTATAAATTGTTGTATAGCGACTAGTCGCTGCAATACACTAACAACAATCGCACTTTACAAATGGGTTATTACCGTGTATATATTGTTATAACCTCACTTTTCTTAAATCTCTTATACCTCGGCTCTCAGATTGCCAAAATCTGCAAAATTTTCAGTGATTGTTTGCTTATATAGTAGCTATCAATTGACACTAATTTCGTCTTTTTACATCTAGGCCCAAAATTGTATGAAAGGGTATCCGTCTCCTTTCAACAGTCCTAATTATCGACAACCATTCGTTTTTAAAAATTTAGTTATTTTAAATATCGTGTAGGGTGACCATAATTTTTAAAGTATCAAGTTTGTTTTGACATAATGTTTAAAAAATATTGTTTTCAAGTATTATTCACTTCTTATTTTCATGTGTTTCTGGGATTCCCTCATATTATCAGAAAATAACTTTCATCGTCCAATTAACATTTTAATAGCACTTAAATCGATTGTATAGTGTTAAACATGCGTCAATAGTACTCAATATTAGTATCTGGATTAAAGTGTTCGTGTTTACGATGACGTTGACTTGCCAGGGTCATGATCCGGCAGGTGGTCTACACTGAATGCCAACGATTTGCATACGTGCATAATAGAATGACACGTGCCACAAAATCAGTTTACTAGCTGACCAGTAAGCACGCGTCATTTAATTAAATTCCTGTATAACATGATTTTTTTTCAAGAATTATTCATCTTCATAATGTTGACGTAAATAAAGTGTAGGTTAGTTTTGGTGGACTTTGATAGTCTGAAAGTGTTTAGAAATGTAGAATTGCTTTGGTTCAGTATTTCAGGTTAATGTAGTTTATTCTTACGTTGATTAATCGACTGAATGATTGACATAGCAATGTTTGGAAGCATCTGTTAGACAAATGTTTTTTCTAGTTCGACCTCTCAAAAATTAGAGCTGTTTTATATGTGTATACTTAATATTAATCAGCCATATTAGGTGCCAGGCGCCGGCGCTCACAGACAATTTTGGCAAACATTTTTTTGACCTATTTGGAAACCCGTTTTGCACGTTTCGCTGGTCTTGATGCGAATAGTAAAAGTTTAAAATGTCAATTCACTACTATGGCTTAGTAGAAAAAAGTTAGGTTACATTATATATTTGAAACGACAGTTATTGTAAAAAAATAAAGGCATTTTCTTCCCAGAAAATTTATTTTTCTCATTTTCACGCAAGTTTTATTGAAACAACGTTTTTCAAACATTTAATTTTATTCGATTACGTAAAACAGTATTTACTTTATGCACATGCGGTGACCATGATTCAGTGCGTGATTTAAAATCTAAATTGTTTTTCTCAAAAAAAATCTCATAAAAGCTTTCTCTAATAAAATCTTTGAAACTGAAAATTATCTGTATTCTACAGTTATTTTAGTTTTATGCGCACATGGTTTGCATGTGCTGCCAAGTTTTTTTTCGCAAATATTTCATAGCGTTGTTGTGATAATTGCCGTCTCACGAGTGGGGAAACACGTGGATTTGGAAAACAAGAATCTGTGACATTTTAAACTGATGCGTTGGCATCTAATAAAGAAAATAGATTAAAGATTTTTTTATGCTTTATATTCCAGAATTGCTAGTGTCACTCCTGAATCGCTTATCTATTAATAACTGCTAACGTTAAACCCTAAAATAAAATCCACAGAACCGATACCGTCCTTGTGTCAGATATTAAAATTCGTTCGGATATTCGCCGGGTGTTGCGTAATGTCAACAATATTCATGAATCTAAGGTAATTCATAGACCGGTCTATAACTGGGTTGGTCAGATGCATTAACCTTGACTTCACGCGTTTCGGTATTTAAATGGATTAACTGTTTATACGGTGCCAATGGCAGATTAATGGGAAGATCATATGGCTAGTTGTTTCGCGAGAACATTACCTTAGTCAATGTGACGTTAACGATCGTTTAAAATAACGAGCCGGTCGAATCGAAACTTGTTACGCTACTGTATACTAATATGATGGGAGAAACATAAAAAAAATAGGATTAAAATTACGTTACGCTGCACTTTATTGGTTATTGTTATAAAAGTTAACATACGAAATAAATACGTATAAAACGCAAGCAACGGATATATTATTTATTTTTTAGCTTGCACCCAGGTAATCCGACACACTATTGTTACATTTATATAATACAATGAATCATTAGCTAACGATATCAAAACTATAAATAGAATTTCCCACACTGGCAAATATAATTCACAAGCTCATGTGACATGCTATGCTTAGGTCGCCTGTTATTATTAATTAACCAAGTTGATAAAAAAACTGCCATAGAGTTAGTTTTTACAACTGCCAAAGTAAAGAGTTTCAGATTGTACAGCGTATAATTTTGGGTACCAGAACATTGTAAAAGTAGTAAAAGGGATTGATTCGTCGCTTGCTGTCATAGCATATATGTATATTCGCGAATATGCTCAGAGAAAGAAAACAAGAATTCTATTTTACTATGTTTAAAAGAATGTATTTCGCAATAATCGTTACAGTAGTAACTACTGTTATAAAGTTAGCAATCTACAAGCAAGGTCGAATTAACCAGTGAGTTATGCGAATCATCAAAAAAAAAAAAAACATTTTTACTAAACTACCGTAATAATAATTTTGTTTACAAGAGAATTGAAAGAAAATATTTTTTACTCTCAAATGTTCTATGTACTGGGACAATAATTTGTACTTTTTTCGGATAAGTCCTGTTTTTTACATACTACATTTTATGAATGTTTTGATTAACCTTTTCGTAGTAGGTATGCAAATGCGTTTTTTCTGCGGTTTATGTTTTAGGTATTTTATCAGTATTTTTCTTCGAATTGTTTTTGTATGTAAGTCGGATTACATGATGATTTAACCTAAGTAGGACGGAGCCGGCACGCGTAGGGTTAGTCATCATGATTCATTCATGGTACATTGATAACCTCTTTGCATAATGTTAACAAAGTTGATTCTGCTAAAATTGACATAAAATAAGTTTTGTTTATGAGTTTAATAAGACCTTCCATAAATTTAAAATAATCTCAACCTAAATGTCTGTTATAAAATTGTGCGCATTTGCAAGTAAATTATATATTCTTTTGTATAATTAATTAGATTTTTGATGTAACAATTTGTTTTACACAAAGTTATGTATCTGTAGTGCTATTTTAACTCAGTATTACATTTTTTGTGTTACTGGCTCAGTACGTCATATAAAATATCTTTATCTATTGACCGCGTCCTTGATAGCCGAAAATATCCGTCGCAAATTCTTTATGACACAAATTGTATGAATTTGAACGTCGGATTGGCAATTAAAAACTATTTTTGTGTGACGTAGATGCAAATATCACATGCACAAACATCCATGACCTTCTTGATGATGAAGATGATTATGAGAAGTTGCATTTACAACTTTAAATATTTATGCCCTCTTTTCTTGTTGCAGGTTGTCTAACATGCGTCCAAGTACTGAATATTATGGTCCTCCTCGGCTTCATGTTGAACTACGCCCTCCGAGTGAACCTCACGATTGCAATTGTAGAAATGATTTACGATGACAATGACAACCACACTGCTGCCTTGAACATCACCTTAGGCCCTCACAACGTTACTGAGGTGAGATTTACAACTTCCTTCAATATTTATTGCTTTGAAATAATTGAAACTTACGAAGTTTATAGCCCGATCGAAAGGAATGAGGAATTTGATGGAACTTTCTAGAAGAAAATGTCATGAATCATGATACTATAAATAAAATGATTCTGAATTTTACCAATGCGACTTACTCTGAAGTTAATAATAATTGCTGTTTTTGTCTTAGGTCTCATGAGTCTATCTAAATTAAGATGATTTCATGGGTTTCTTTATTCAATTAAGGATTTTTTAGAAAACTTTTTGTTGTTTGATTGTTAACGCGAAAATAAAAAATCTTTTAAGCTAACACAATGCTCTTTCAAGCCCCACGCTGTGGGTTATTCCCGTTTACCACAAAACTGATAGTCATTTCCTTTATGAATTTTTTAAAACATCAGAATACAATTGGGATTATTTATAGAAAAAGATTAATGGGAATATGAGCCAATTAGCATTGTATTCTAGGAATGGGTGGTGAATATAATAACTTCTTTTTCTTCTAGCACCCAGAACATATCGAGCAGACTCGTTACCACTGGGATACGAAACAGAAGAATCATCTTCTCGGCTGCTTCTTCTGGGGTTACGTGCTCACAGAACTGCCAGGTGGCAGACTGGCAGAAATTATTGGTGCTAGGTAAGAAAAAAACTACATTATTCTCTATTTTATATAAAAGATCTGATGGAAATTGTATTTTCGACAACTCATATTTTTTTATCTCTTGGGAGGCTCTTGTGGGTTTGTGTTATATAAGTCCAAGTACATTGTTGCTTCACCTCGCGGATCGATTACCAAGTCCTTAAACAACATGTTATTATAAGTTTCCTTAGGAACGCAATGACCGACCGGTTTTTCATTATACACTACAACTAGGCCAAGTTCTTTAAGTAGTCATGTTCGATTTAATATAGACTAATTCGTCCAGGATAAGTTATTTTACATGAAGATTATCCCTTTAAGGATCTGACCACAACCTGTTCAAACGGTTTGGTGGTCACGTTTTTGTACCATTTGCTTCTAAATATAGAAGTCGCGTGAGAAAGTCATGTTTTTAGTTAGCGTAGATACATACGCTCATACTCCAGGCTGAATTATAAAGAGCATTTGGCAACTGTAACTGTTTTAAACCCAGCCAATCCCCAAGCACAACTCGGCGCAATGCCGACCAATTTGCAAATAATAACTGTTTTTGTATCGGTCCGCAACAAAAACTTGGCCCCTGAATAGTAAACAAGTATTTTTTTTCAATACTATCCCATTCATTGTTGGCAACACCATGTAAATACACTAATGAAGGAGTGGGAGAGTAAATAAAAAAAGTCTCGCAGAGTGCAGCGACCGAATGCCGCCGTCCGAAAATTATTCACATTGACTTTTGTATTTCGAATTTGAAATATTAGTAACCATGCATTTCTCGTTTATTGGGACCGGTTCCGACATTTTTATTCTCTTCAATAAGTTACGTTCGACATTAGTATTTTTTCGCGATGCAATCAGGCGTATAGGCGTTATTTCATTTTAAATTATACACATCGCAGTTGCCTCGTAATTTCTGCGCGTCCAAATAATTTAACGTCGAACTTTCTAGAAGCTATTAATAAAAGGGTCAGAAAGAGTCAACGAAGCTGATTGGACAGAAACTTTTGGTCCTTGCCATCGGTTTGAACTATGATAATCACTCATAATAGAACAGTTGGTCTCGACGCCATTATATTGCTAACAATTATTATTATGAAAAGATGTGGTTTCATTATGTACATCGCACGCCATGTTCGGTATAATTATAGCTACATTACAGGCAAAAATGTACAAATTCACAATAAAAATAAATAGCAGTTGTTACTAGTTAAGCATGTGTGATTCCTTTATAATATCCCTTCATAATAATAATAGTTACATGCAAAAAAAAACGAACTTGTCACGCGATAGCAACCGTTACACGTTTAGCTAAACAGGGAGCCGGGGCAGATAAAATACAAACGACTCTATTAATGCCAATTGATACAATTATAAATATTGCTATTGAATTAATTATCCAGTGCACCAGCACTCGTGACTGTGCCAGGCTTGGACCGGTTGCTGACTAATTCAATGAATAACACTACTATATTGAGGACGCTGAAATCAAGTTGAACAAGTTTTTTGGCTATTGATTGAAGTCATTATCCCAACGTGGTTTTGTTTACGAACGGAGAAACTTTCAATACTGAAAATCACCTTGAGGCAAGCAAAAATGTAAGTCAGAGAATTGTTCGGATGGTTTTAAAAAAGAGATGTCGGTAAATGATTCACGCGGAACGTTCTCGCAATGTATGCGGGCATGCGCTGCGATTTATGAACGTTATCGTGTAACTGAGCGTTGTGTGATCATACGTGAAATGTTGGCGTGACAGTCGATGCGGCTGGCAGATTTTTGACGTGCCTCGTATTGAATTGCCTGTCACATCGATGACACGCAACTTTATTTTTTTCCTTTAAGACATCGTAGACATAATGATTTTCATGATTTATATGTAACTCAAAATCTGAACGAGTATGTTTTTCAGTTTGGTCGTTGTATTATTAAAAGGTTTTTTATCGCTATATTAAATATATATTTTTTTTCATTAGGCGGGTGTTCGGATACAGCACCCTGTTAGCCAGTATCCTCACCCTCCTTACTCCTGGCTCTGCAGCCCTCGGCTTCGGATGGATTGTTGCAGTCAGAGTATTACTAGGATTCCTTCTCGGAGCGACATGGCCAGCTATCCTGCCAATGGCATCTAAATGGATTCCACCAATGGACAGATCAAAATTTATGTCTAACATGATGGGTAAGTACTAAGAAATATTTATAATTAGGTATGTCATAAAAAACGAAGTTCCAAGAAGTCATAATCATAATTGGTTCTTATTAAGAAAGTGTTTTGCCTGACTAACGGTCTCATAAAAACGCCATTTATTGCAATTAATGATGCATAATATACTAGTAGTTGACGTCTGCGAATTGTAGAGTTCAAAGAGGGCGATATAAATCTGTGTTACAACAAGCTATCAGTCTGCCTTGACCGGCCCCCGCTTTCCTCCGTCATCTGACGTTTGTGATATCAATATCATAAGTGTAACGTACACGTAAAGAGGGCTCGAATTGTTATCGCTCCGTGTCGCTGCGCAAACATTTCGCAGTGATGCGTGTATTTGAAAGCTACAATATGGCCGCGGAGGCGCGCGCAGGCGTGGTCGCTGACGTCACACCATTGGCGCATTCTCATTGGCTGTTATATGCTGACCGCGCGATTTAACCTTGCGCAACCGTTGCCATGCTGCAGTTAACCAGTTCTGAGAATCGCGGCTTAGTATTATTTTAGTACGGGACGTGTGGTCACGTGGTGGCTATGGCGACTATGATTGTGGGCAAGGTTAGGAACATGCGTCGGAGTCTATTCTCGAATGCAGTTCAGATGACTTTGTCCTTAAATGTACCCACATCCGCTTTGAGCAAAAATTTTATTCAGTTGCACGATTTACTACGTCTTTGTTTATTTTTTCTGTGGGAATTATCTTAATTAGTTTTGCTGCATCTAAGATTTAATTTATTTTTTCTCAGAAGTAGTAAAATTGCGGCGTCGTGACTTAGATTCTGATCATAAGTTAAATTACATGTAGGTATCTGCTTATTAATTCATGGTTAATGGAACCTTGGTTACAAAACTCGTAGTAATGCATTTCCTTGTGCGTCGTACTAAAAACGTTTACTCAGACATTACCCGGAACAAAATACAAGTCAGTTATAATAATAATTAAGAAAATGTATGATGTCAGGTATATTAAATAATAATAATTACATAATTAATACCCATAGCAATAGTCTCAATCCCTATTTAGCAAAACTTATGTTATGATATTTACAAGTATCGAAGATTGCTTACCATCAGGTGATACGTCTGCTCATTTACCAGCCCATTTTCCTTTCTTAAAAGAACGAGTCGCGATTGTTTGCATTGACTAACAATACCCATGCCTATTATTTAAATATATCAACTTTGACGTAACATTAATAAAAGTTATGTACATAACTTAGTGAAATGGTGACGTAAAGACTTGCTCGAATGTTCTATGCTTCAAGTCAATAGCACTTGTATCTAAACAGCCTCTGTATAGAATGTGGGTCGTAACATGTCGAAAATATAAATCAAATAATTGTCAGTTCGCAATAAAACTTTATCTTGTTTACTTGATTCGACAAGAGCTTCCTTTAACTGATTATCAGCGATTGCTATTACTCATAATATGAATGGCGGAGGCTAATGTAATCGCAAACATATATTGCGTCGAGGTTTCTGCAGCCATTTATATCAGGAGACACAGATAAAATAATAACACGTGTCCATACGATACATCAAGTGTTGTCGCATTTTTTGCTCTAACTGTAACACAGACGAGTGCGTAACTGTAAAAACAAAAGTGACAATACAACTTGACACACTTTCTTCAATTTTCAATTGACCCAAATTCGATAGACGAAATAAGTTTCGAAGAAATTGTTTAGCTTTAGACTATTCTAGAAGAACGCAGGTAGAAACCATTAAGAGGTTTAGTTGTTTTTTCGGGTTATAAAAAGATATGTCTCAGAAAATTCGAGAATGATGGTAGCCCTACTCTTTGCCGTTTGTTACCAACTGATTAATGAATGAAATGGAATCGGTCCACTACTCTACGTGCATTGTTCGTAAATACCGGGTCATAAGTTCAACTTAACACTGTTGCAGTTGTTATGGACCTTATCTTCTGAAGCGGAGAGGTCATTTTGCGAAAAAAATAGTGTTTCGTTAATTTTGTAAGTCGGAGAATGGTTTTACAATTTACCTACTAGTTTATATTGGAGCAAAGTTCTTGTAACTACGAACGATGACCTGAAAGAACCATAATTTACAATTTTGAAGAATTTGTTTAACACATTTAACGCCATGGGGGTCAGCAGTGACCGACGTAAGCGAAAGATTCGCGTTCAACAGTTTTCTATTGGCAGTCAAAACCTTAAGAAAATCTTAAAACTAAGATAAAATGTAATTCTATATGCAATTTCAGATTCATCGAGCAATTTTGGTCAAGCTTTTTAATTGTATTATTTTTAATACAGTAACTTTTTGGGTAGCCAATAAGCACTTCATTTACATGCCATTTTACGTAATATCTTGGCAGTTGTATGATCATGATACGATAATTTGCGTGTCATACACTTGTTGTACATAATGCAATATACTTGTCAATGTTTAGTTAATACTATACGTAAACAAAACATGAGTTTTAGTCATTATTATAGGGATTGACGTCAATAAAAATAGGGGATGACTTAATTGTGATAAGCTTATCTATTTTAGAGACCTAAAAACAATCGTCATCCACAGCTTAAGGCTTAAGTGTCTTCTGATGAGCAAAACCTCTTCTCACACGGAGAAGGTTTGAGCATTCCCCAATCCGGGTTAACTAAAACTGTCAAACACCAAGCGGTCACCGGTGACCGCGACCTATTGTTCTTTAATTGTGTCTATAAAACTGGTACTCGACGAGTTAAAATAAGAAATTATCAACAATCAACCCAGGTTTCCTCACAAAGTTTTCGTATGTCTGTGGTGTCCTCCTTTTTTTGAAGTCGGTAATAAATAATCTTAGAAAGTACATAGTAAACCTCGGATATAATAAAAACCATAGTAAGTACCTAATAAATGACATAATTTTACGATTGTATTGCAATTCCTTATAGGAGTAGATAAAGACACGGTTAGAGCATACCTTGGTTTTCCTTCCTTTAAAACTATGCAAGCATCACCTCGTGGGCGGAAAAGATAAGGTGGTTACAAAAGGTGTTACATTAGAAGCAAAAAATAATAAACTTTGTGAATCATATTATTTACTAACAGTCGATTATAATGTATAATCTGTAGATTTAAATCGATTTTAGACATTTTTCTGAAGTTTATGTTAAGCACTAATATCGATCCAGATTTCGAAATACCACCAGTTATTAACTTCGCATTCGACCTTTTGCCCGCCCAAATAGTCTCAATCTCAAGTATTTCCAAGAATCAGAATAGCGGTTTTTAATCATTCATTAAAATGAAACCTCATTCATTTCCTTTTCGACCGTAAACAGTAATTATATTTTTAATCTAGTCACGGCACCGCCCTTCGAGTCGTCCTTTGCCAACTGGGTCTAGGTATTTTCGAGGAAAAGGTAAAACCCTTGCAAATATAGGCAATTATGTATGTTTCGTAGCCTTCCTTATACTTTTGATACTTATTTTGGCACCATCATCGTTGTGAAATACGTTTTTATAATAACTATCGTGAGATATATGCTAAATTAAATAAAAATTGTGGGTTACTCATGTGAAAATACTGAGAAAAGCTCTACTAATTTCGAACCACAGAGGGCTCTTCCTCATGAACAGTGTGCGATGTCGCCCATCCTACTGTAGGTAATAGGCTGCTCGAGTTTAAGTCGTGAAATACGTTTTAAGTTTACGTTATTGTATAGTTAAGATGCTTGATAAGTTTTAATTTTACAACACACCCTATTTCCAAGTAATGCCTTTGACTGCTAACAGAAATCGGTGAAGGTAAATCCTCCGCTAACGTAGGTCACCGGCTACATACGCGGCCGTTAACGTGTTAACTGTGTTAAAATATAAGCACTATAAATACATACGCTATTTGAAGATGCCCGACTACTTTCGAACCATTGTGGGGCTTTTAATTGTGAGCGGACTGCGCTGTGATCGACGTATGTCGTACTGCCTTCCTTCTCTCTTAACTACATTCAGACACAAATCCAAAATCGCTTTGTAGCGACCGGCGACGTAAAAAAGACATACAAATATGTACACGCATTAGTAAGAATGTACAATATACCTAAGTGCACCCTAGCAACAGTGAACGATTGTTTAAACTAGACCAGACTAAGTAGATCACTACGTCACTCTGATGCGTTGACCTCTTCGCTTCTAGGAACTTTCCTACCGAGACGGCAAGGAAAAATTTATTCCCAGCCATTCATTATGTGTATTAAAATTATTATCTTTGACCAATGTATGTACCAGATTATTAGATTACCCACATTTGTGGACACAAGATAAAAGATATGCTAAGTAGATACCTCTAAGTAGGTCGTAGTTTATCTGTATGCGACATTTTTTCATTAATAAATCTGATTCATGCGCGTGAAAAGTATATTGTTCATAACTCTGTAAGATATGATATTAGTATGTGTATGATTCAGTAGATTAAAAGATACATATCATCGTACGTGGGCAAATTCCAAAGTCTTCAACTTTATTAGAAGTAATGAGATAATTCTTTATTTTTATGGCATAAGCCGGTAAACGAGCAGACGGTTCAGCTGATGGTAAGCAATCGTCGGTGCCCATTGACACCTGGAACACCATGGCGTTACAAGTGCGTTACCTGCCTTTTGGAAATTGGAGATTTGAGGATTGCCAAGGATTCGGGGATTGGGTAGACTGGGGTAATCGGGCCTCCGGTAACCTCACTCACACGACGAAACACAACGAAAGCGATGTTTCAGGTCGGTTTTCTGTGAAGCCGTGATATCACTTCGGTCCAGCCGGCCTATACTTGCCGAAGCATGGCTCTCCCACACTTATAATTCTACACAAAAGTTTCTGGAAAGAGCTTATTATAATGTATACGTCTATCTATTATGGTAGATTATGCAGTACCTGCTAGGGCCCAAGACAGAGGCTCCTCTGTTCTTTGCGCAAGTACAACAGTACAACACATGCTTGCTAAGTGCAAACTGTGTTTCGCACCTACA